CAGTTTCACAAGTCCTGAGTAGAAAAATGTTCATCATCTCAACTTGTTGCCTGCTCTCAGCAGTCCAGGATGTTTCTTTGCTACAAGGGCACATTGCTGGCTCAAGTTCAACTTGTTGAAAAGCAAGACCCCTAGATCCTTTTCTGCAATGCTGCTTTCCAGCCAGTTGGCCCCTAGCCCATACTGGTGCATGGGGCTATTCCTCCTCAGATGCTTGGCATTTCTGTTTATTGGACTCCATCAGATTCCTGTCAGTCCATCTCTTCAGCCTGTCAAAGCCCCTCTGAATAGCAACCCTAATCTTGAGTATTTTGACTATTCCCCCCAGTTCTGTATCATCTGCAGATTTCCTGAGAACAGAACCTGCCATTGTCCAAGTCATTAATGTCTTCATTAATGTCCATTTTAGCCTCAGTATTAACTCCTCAGGAAAGTCACTAGTCACAGATTGCCAATTAGCCTTTGTACTGCTGATCATAAATCCTTCAAGCACAGTAGTCCAGCCAATTTTCTGGAATACCTTTTTGTCTTTTCCATGTCCTTTGTCACTACATGTACAGCATCATTCAGCAACAGGCCCATGTTTTCCTCAGTGTTCCTTTTGCTACCAATGTACTTGAAGAAGACCTTCCTGTCCTCCATATTTTTTGATCATTTTGGCCCCAGCTGAGCTTTAGCTTTCCCAACTCCATCTGTGCATGTTTGGGCACATCTTTATATTCCTCTCAGGTAGCTCACCCTTCTTTCCACCTTTCAGTACTTCCCTTTTGCATTCAAACTCAGTCAGGAGTTCCCTGCTCAACCAGGCCGGCCTTCTGCCACATCTGCTCAACTTTCTGCACCTTGGAATGGACCATTCATGTGTTTCAGGAAGGCTGTCCCGGGCTCCTTTGCCCTCCAGGGCAATCTCCCATAGGATCCTACTAAGCAGATCTCTCCACAAAGCCAGTTCTCCTGAAGTTCAGAATTGTGATTCTGCTGTTTGTCACTTCTCACAGGTTTTTAAACTCCACCTCGCAGACACTGTGGCTAAAGTTGCCATTCACCTTCATGTCTTTGACCAGTTTTTCCTTGTTTGTGAGCCACAAGTCAAGGAGAGCATCATCCCTACTCAGGTGGTCAATTAGTGCATTAAGAAATTGTCATCAACACTCCAGAAATCTCCTGGGTTGCCTGTGCCAAGCCCTGTTATACTTCCAGCAGATACTTTGATGGCTGAAGTCTCCCATGAGTACCAGGGCCTGTGACCATGAGACTTCTTTAAGCCGTCTAAAGAAGGCTTCACTGACTTCATCTTGATCAGGTGGTCTGTGGCAGATACCTACCACAACATCACCTGTGTTGATCCTTCCTCTGATCTTTACCCATAACTTCAAGTGGCTCATCTTCTGCTCCAAAGCAAAGCTCAGCACATCTTAGCCACTCCTTTGTTTAGAGTGAACCCCCTCTTCCTCACCTTCTCAGTTTGTCTTTCCTAAAGAGTCAATATTTTTCCACTGCAGTACTCCAGCAGTGTGGGTTATCCCACCATGTCACTCTAAACCCCATGAGGTCACTGCTGTGCAACTCTACATAGACTTCTAATTCCTCCCGTTTGTATTGCATGCTCCTTGCATTTGTGCATAAGCACTTAAGAGGGACCCCCACTGTCGTGCTGCTTTCACAAGTGTAAGAGCCTCCCCCACCATTCTGTTCCCTAGACAATTCCTCATTGCCCCCACGTCTTCACTTATCTTCAGATTATGGCAGTCCTCCTGTGGCGTATATAGTTTAAAAACTTCTTCACTCAGTTAGCAAGGCCATCAAAAAACCAAAGCTCTTACCCCACTTTGTCAGATGGGTCACATCTCTCACCAACAGTCTTTGTCCTTCAAAAAGGGTCCTGTGGTAATAAAAGCCAAAGCTCTGTCTCCAGCACCAGCCATGCAGCCAGATGTTGATCTGCATGACGTATCAAAGCTGCCTGAGCCTTTGCCTTTTACTTGAAAGCACTGAGGAGAACACTATATGCCTCACCCCAGGCCCTCCTCCCTTTACTGCACAGCTCTGTAGCCACTTTTTGGGTTGTTCCACATCTGCCTTGGTAGCACTGTGGGTTCCCATTCAGATGGGCAACAATAACTCTGAAGGCCAGATGAACCTCGGCAGTCTCTCTAAAGCATCCAAGATCCAAGCCCCTGAAAAGCATCAAACCTTCCAGATATCAAGAAAGGCAGACAAGCTCCTCCATCCCCAGCAGAGGGAAATCTTTGCTATCACACTCCACTTCCACTTGGTATGGACGCTTGGTTCAGGCTTAGCAGGCTCTAAAGCCTCCTCTGACTGCTCTGTTTCATTCTCATCTATTCTCATGACACTATGCCTGTTCTGTAAGTGCAGATGTGCAGGCAAAGAAGGAATTTTCTTCGGTTGATAGAGTTATAAATTTCCAGCATCCCCCATCTTGAGGGTCTGCATCCACCACTCCTTTGAGCAGAATCTCTAGCTATCCATCCTTCCTTCCTTCTACCACATGGCTCAGGCTCTAGCCTCTGCACAGTATCTGCAGGGACACTGCTGACCTCCTGGATTCATCCTCCATGATGACGTGAAGTCTGCTCATCTTCTTTGCAAGTGAGGCCACCTGCATCCCCAGCCCAAGGAAGAGGCACCAGGCACCTCCTGCGGCCTGAGACCTGCACGACAACATCCTCCTTCAGGAGTTATGCCTAGGTCAAGGCTTCTGATGTGCCTAGGGTAGTTGCTCCTGCTGATACTAGAGACCTTGCTTTGTGGTACATCAACATCATTAATTCATGGTTTCAAGTCTCACCCAGTCTTGAGCACAGCTTCTAGTATCCTGTTGCAATGATTATCAAGCTTCCATCTTCTGCACTCTAAGGACTGTCTTCCTACCTATTAGATTTATATCTGCTCCCCATTCACCAGACGAGTAGGTGTTTGACACTCCCTGATTAGCAGTCAGTTGAAGAGGGTATGTATAGGCATTCCCTAAAAAGAAAACAGCTGACAGAAGCAAAAGCCTCCAGAAGCTGCCCCTGACCCACAGCAGCAGCCCATCAGATGTTCCTCAAAAAGGAAGATTTCAGAAAATACTTCCTGCAGTTCCCTGAAGAAGCCTGGAAACTGCTGTCATAAGTGCTAGATCTCTGTTAGCTGTTCTGTTTTCTATGCTCACAGTCCTTATGATATATGATTATATTATTTATTTTATTTTACTTAGATAATACCTTGCTTTCTTTTTTTCAAATCCAGTACGTGCATGTCTGACCTCATAACTTCTTAGATTAACTACTGTTTAAATCATTTATTTTCATTCTGCATTTTGTAGATGTATTAATTCTTCCCAAAGACTACATCTAAGAAGTGTTCAAAGTTACTAATACAAAATAGGTATCATCTGAGAATTCACATATGTATTTCTTACATCATTTCAATAATCATTTCATGCATATGATCTCATTGTTTCAGTACTGTAAAGCAGGCAGATGTTTTCATGGTTATTGTTGTGTTTGTGACCGCACACAATAAAATACTCTCTAACAAAGTAAGGTGTGACATTTTGTTTATCCACCATAGAAAGAGTAATGAAATATAGTCACAGGTTTTGCATTTTAAAAAGTAAAAATAACCTGAGGTATCAACATATAGGAACTTGGTATTAACAAATTAACCATAGTAATAAGAAAAGCTGTTGACAAAACTGAGATATTCTACATCCTGAAAGGCTAACGAGGGACTTGAAGGTTTTTATAAGAGGTTTGTATGTGCACATATTTGTATGTGTCTCTGAGTATGTGCATGTGTGATACATACAAACATACACACACAGACACACACAGATACACACACACAAACTTCTATATATACTAATATCCACATATGTTTATGTATATGTTCATACTATTATTATGCATATACACTACCATTTAGTAGCAGTGCTGGCTATGAGTGCTACTTCTACACTTGACACTTCAATACCTTTCAAGCTATTTATACATTAGAGTAGAAACACCTTGCATATATTGTTAAATCTCTTACATAAAAATAGATATAATTTTTTACAGGAACACAGTATTTTAACCACTTGCTTTTTGTGCCTATTATAAGCAAATATTTCTGTCCAAATATAAGCTTGATCATTTTACTATTACAGTATATTTTGCTAACTTAACATGGTAGAACAAGATTTAATGCAATGCAAGTGACCTAACAGGATGAAAAAACTGCAAATGAGAAAGTACTATCATCTCATTATGTTTTAGTTCATACTTTCCAATCAGATGATGACTAGTCAATCTACAATAAAGATAGCAAGAAAAATGTTATATTAAAAGATATTACAGTCCAATATTTAGAAGCTGGCCTACAGCACCAATCCAGCTCTGTACAGAAAAAAAAAAACACACAGAAGCACATAAGTTTGTATATTTATAAGATGCTGTATCTATGCCATATGAAGACCGAAAAATAAGTTGACCTGATATTATTGATGACTTCAATTCAATTATTACTAATTTTTCTAAAGTTCTTCAGTGCAAGTAACCCTACATCTACAGTGTAAATTCTCCCTTTTTTTCCTTCAATATATCATAAGAAATTTCAAAAATCTTTTTTGCAAGTATAAAAGGAAACAAAATTATTCTATATTTACATAAAGCAACCAGAAAATTAACTTTTGTAAAGATTTAGAAATGCAAAAATTCCTCTGAATTAGGAATTCTGAAGTGAATCGTTCTGGCAGTTTTGTTTGATTTCTACAACTCTTTATTCATCAATTTGCAAGGTAGGTCTTCTGGCACCTGACTTATGTTTTGGAAACAAATCCTGATGACACGTAACAATTGTATAGTACATTTAAAGACTACCTGCTCAATCCTTTTCTCTTTTTTATGCAAAATAAATCTATCTACCCAGATGCAAACATATGAAAAACCATTTGTACTTCTTTCATGAATACCACATAACATTTTTCACCTAAATATCACTTGACTTCTTACCTGGAAAACAGCTACAGTAAAATTCACCAATCAAATCATGGCAATGGCCTCCATTTTTGCAGGGCTTGAAGGTACATTCATCAATGTCCGTGGAACAGTTTTTGTCTGACAGGAAAAAAAAAGGAAACATTAAAACCATAAATCATGTTAGATTTGGGAAAACAGAAAAGCTACTTCACAGTACAAGTGACAACTGCATAATTTAACCTTTCCAGGTTGGAAATACTATTTTATTTATGCTTGACAGGTTTAAAACGAGAGGTTTTCATAGATCAGAGCTGATAGTTAACAAATTAAATATTTCAAAGGGATAAGTATGAGTATGTACAAATATATTCTTTGTGTATTCTAGTATTACATCTCAGCACTCTAATTACTAAATTATATGCCACATTATAAAAATGCTTTTAGATATTCAAAAACCTAGTAACAAATACAAGAAAAATAGTTGTCAAAGTGGCTTCCACGCTTAGATGAATAAAGCCACTTCTTAGAAGTCAACAGAAAACTCAGAAATTCAATCAACTCTCTTTATTTTTCCACTTTTAAAGAGATTTAATTGAAATTCAAATTAATAACAAACCCAAACCAACAATAATATAGCAGAATATATAAAGAGAACATTTTGAAGACTATAATAGATGGCTTATGAAAACAATGAACTCATCAGATATACCACAAAAAATCTACAGTCCCTCATCCATCTGTTGTGCACTGCATTAATTTAGAGCAACCTCTAGCCTGCTATAAATTATACTAGCATCTTTCTATTCCAAAATTGATCCCAACTCAAAGGACAACTATACAGGTAAAGAGCTACAGTGAATAAGAGAAGCTACTCCATTGACAGAGATGGGAAAACTATAGCTATCACTGACATGAGCAAGTAAAATGTAGGTTAGGATTCTATCCAAAAAGTGATGGAAGGATCCTTGTATCACTCAGATTGGATATACTAGATAGGTAATGCCTCCCAGGATTCTCAATCTGAGGAGCTACTGAAAAATTTAATCCAATGACTAGTATCATATGCTACAATCTCTGTAGGAACTATGCTACAATCTCTGTAGGAACTATTTATGCTCTTAGGAACAACTTAAGAAGATTGCAAAGGACTACGAAACTGTAGGAGGTAGGAATTAAAGGATCAGGTGGTGTTTCTGGGGTCCTCCTTGGAGGATCAGAGCTCAGACAATGGAAAATTCATTCCAAAGATAAATGTATGGCTGGCAGATGGTGCCACCAGATGGTTTTGTCTTCTGTTACTATCAAGTGATGTTCTCTGAGCTAACCAGTAAAAGCGGAATCTACATCAAAAAAAAAAAAAAATCGAAGAGCAGGAAAGAAAGTGATGAGAAAACAGAGGAAGATTAAAAAAAAGAAACCTGTTTTTTTTTTTGTCTAAACTAATTATTTAGAAAAGGCTTTAAGGGGAAGCTCATAGAAGTCCGTCGATAAGGAAAATTATAGTATCTAGATAGACAGTTAAAAACTATGCAGGATATGTTGTACACTCACAGAGAAAATAACATAGGCAATATGGTGTATTTAATGGTTCACTACAGATCACAAATCTAACAAAAGTAATTGGACAAAAACTTAGATTTTTTTAATAAATAAAAAAAAAAATAGCAGAACCATTAAGAATATAGGATGTGGAGTGATAGGGATTTTTAACAATCCAAACATTACTGTGGAAAAGAATCATGATATAGAGAACTCAGCAAGACCTTTGAATAAGGGAAAAATGAAATTTGCTGCTTTCTTAAAGTATATCAGGTTAAACTATCCTTCTGTGCGAGAAAGACACAGGGTATTAGCTATGACCAGCTTAGCACTTCACGGTTTTCAAATAGCAGGAAAATGAGCAACTAACAAAAAAAAAATAGGCTCAACATAACCTAAGAAGCACAGCATAAGCATGTGCACATAACATCAAAACAGCAAAGGCCCTGAATAAGATGCAACTATAACAAGATGTGCAGGGTAATGACAAATGATGCTGTAAGTACTTCAGCATTAACAGGAAAATGAAGGAAAGGTACGGTTGCTATTCAGTGCCGAAGGATGACTACTGACAATGGTAATCATGCCAAACTGTTCAATGCTTCTTTTGCTTCAATCGTCACTAAAAAGGTCAACTGCAAGCATAGAGTTCTCATAATTAATACCTATGATAAAAGGATAAAACTTCAGTGTTGAATTGAGACGACAGGTGGGAGAATCTTCAAATGAGTTAGATGTTCAGATTGGTTGGCCTGATGAACTTCACCCTTGGGTACTTAGAAAGTTGACTAATAAAAGCTCAGTAGTTTTCTTCGTGAACTTGTGCAGCGATATATCTCAGGAAGACTTAAGTATATAACTCAGGAAGACTTAAGTATTTCCAACCATGTTTTCCAGAGTCCTGCACTTGTGCTTTAATCACAACGTGAACTTTTTGGGAGAATATTGCTTTTCGGTTTTGATTTGATAAGGGCCTCACAGCAACCTAAAATATTTTTTTCTATTGAAAAATAAGCCTCCTCATTTTAAATGATTAAGTTCTTATTTATCTAAAGTAACTTAAATACATAGTCATGCCGAGAAAGATATTCATACATGTTCTAAATACATTATACTATGCATGATAACTGGCATCACTACTGAAAAAAAAAATTATATCTAAAATAAAGGGGATAAACTGAAATATGAAAATAATCTCATAAAACCTCCAGTAGAGCAATGATTAAGTAAATCCCATATAAATTAATTAAATTTTTGATTGAAAAATTAACATATCTTTTTCTGAGATGGTTCTAACTGTTACTATTCACTATTACTATACTTTTAACAAATCATGCTTAGTATTTGCAGATGAGGTATCGGAGAAATGTGTCATTTGCTTTCTTACAAAAAAGATACTTCGGTTAATTTCTAGCTGACTGGAAAAACATTGCTATTGACCCATAATTGATTTGTTTTTCTTTCATGTAATTCAATATTTTTTTGTGCATCATTTTATCAAAAATTTTACTTAATGTAATTTACAGCATGATGAAACTAGACTTTTCTGCACGCCACTAATCTTTTCTCCCAGTCTGTGTTCTAACTTGAGTTCATCCCTGGGGAAGCAGGTATACTTGAGCGTTCAGTTGATAAATATTAATTAATAACTATAGAAATACATATTGAACACATTTTCACATATGAATAAATCCTGTTTATTTTAGGAAATGTTTAGTTTGTATAACTAGTTGTTGGAAGCCTGCTCTAGGCAACCAGCCTTCTGGAGAGCCTTTGAAATGCAGTGTGGCAGGGGGAACATCAGCCTTGGGCCGGCAGTGAGTCGGAGCTGCTGGCCAAGGGCCAGTGGAACGATCCAGTCCCTGTTAAGTCTCCTGTTTCCAGATTTTAGGGTGGTTTGAAAAAGGCTCAGCATACATGACTGACTTGAAAGATGAGCAAGCACCACTATAGTTCTGACACTAATTCTTCCTTTTGAATCACTGAGGACAGAATTAGAGATGGTTCATGTGGAACAGAAGATGAAGTAAGGCAATGGTTTTAAACTGTGCAGTGGTTCTGACATTAAATAAAAACATCCAAAACCTGCCTAAAATAGAGCAGCTGTTGCAGGGTCACTGACAACAAACCTTAGAAAACCTTAGAGAACAAACACACTGGAAAAAACTTTTGAAAGCACCAAAAAAAAAAAAGGCATTACCCTTTTCGAGTTACCTCATGATGGAATGAGTTGAGCTAGTGGACACTGCATAGCCTTTTAAAATCTCGTTTTACAAATGCTCAGTGTTGCAGGGACCACTTGTTCACCCACAACAGCTGCTACAGGATTCCCACAACTCATAGTATGAGACATACCAGAAAAAAATATATAGATTTTATCTTTAGGAAGTATATTAGAAAGGCTAGAAAGTTTATTTATACTGCTATGTAAAGCCTATAGACTTGTTTAAACCAACATATGACTGATGGTATATTTTGACTGTTGGTACATACTGTCTCATGATAATCATGAACTAGAGATAGTCAAAGCCTAAAACAAGGACTGTGCTGCATCTATGTTATAAAACAAGACAAAGAACTGATACGGCCCATGATCGAAATGAGGAAGTCAGATTAAGCATCTCATGCATATAAATTACAACAAAATTAAGTGCTAAATCCTACAGCAACCTGATGGAAACATAACAATTACTCTTAACTGTGGTATGACCGGTGGATATATGTAATGAGTAGAATAAATAATACATTTCCTGTATTATAAATATTAGTGCTATTCAGGGGCCCGTTAATAAAGAAAATAGTCAGTAGCTAATACCTCACAAAATTAGCTCCTCCATCTGTATCACTGGTAAATTCCATACCAACCTCCCTGACTTCATATTTGATTCAATGCATCTTCAAGTACTTAAGGTAGTAAAGGTGTAATAGTATTCAATATTAAAAATCCCTAGTTGCCATATCTTCAGTTTCTGAAAATGCCTAGAATTACCAGAAATCAGATGTGTTGAGTAGGCCTTCTTCTAATTTCTAAGCCTTGCCAGATCTGAGAATATGGACAGCCTCTGCCTATCTCAACTGCCAGATGTTCACGAAACCCCTCTCATTTCCCAACCTGAACAAAATGTGTTGAGGCAACGAGGCGGCAGTGCCGCCATCTGTCCGTCTGTCCCGTAGCTCTCCATACTATGGGATTACTCCAGTGAGCCGGTGTATGTCGACTCCCACAAGAGGGCATTTGAGAGCAAGCTTTGACATAACACAGAGATAAAAGCTTTTCCTTGTCTTCCCCTTTATTTGACCAGCGTGCTGAGAGTACAGGAAACTCGAGGCACCAGCTGCCAAAGCTCCCAGAGCTAAGGCACTTCTGATTTTAACAACAGAGACTTCACACGGTAGCAGTAGCTGCAGGCAAGTCCCTGCTACTCCCAGGACGCTTGGGTTGTTCTTGCGTTACTGCTGGCTTGCTGGCTTCCTCCATCGAGCGAGAGCGGCCCTCGCACCCAGGCCTGCCCAGGCTGCACGGCGGCGGCACTGCCGTAGCTCGCGGTGGAGGAAAGAGTCTCTCCAGCTTGGTGGGGCTCCCCTCCCGCTGCCTGCAGCAGCTGGGGCCGCTCAAACAGGCAACTTTGTCCTTCCCATCTAGCACAGCCTTTCTAACACACCCTGTGTTCATGGGACATGCACAAACACCCCCAGGAGTTACTGCATCCGTCACAGCGCTAGCACACTGCAAGACAAGCAAACGTCTAGGCCTAATACAGCTTTTGAACAGGTTTTCGGATGCCGAAGCTAGACTTAGTTTAGAAATGCCATTTAACAGAGTAGGTAAACCAAAATGCATTTGAAAAAATAAAAAAAAAAAAAGAAAAAGACCATCTCTATACACTTACAGGACTTTTCCAAATTTCATTTCCTTCATGAAGTCTCCTCAGAGGACTTGGAGACATGGTCCACGGGGAGTCCCCAGATCAGCTGAGGAGCCTTCTAACTTGTGCTTTGTCAGAGCTAACTGTTGTAGCCCAGGAAATAGGGCTTTGGCCGTTACCCGCAGGAGGCCGCAGGCTGGGCGCTGCCATGGCCGTGCAGGGGCTCAGGGCTGGCCGCGGCCTGAGCTGGGCTGCGCTGGGCTGAGCGCCTGCGCCGCGGCCCAGGGCCTGCTGCCTGCCCTGCTCCAGCCCCAGCCCCAGCCCCAGCTCTGGGCCGGGCCCCTCTGGGGAGGGGGTGGTCGGCACTGCCTGGCAAACAA